GCTTAACTGCTTTGACTAAGAGTGTCTTGATTAGTCCAATCCTGAGTGAGTTATGTGCCATGTATGTGTAAGGTTTTGTGTTATTCTGTGCAGTGATTTAATGCCTAGAACTTGCCCCGTGTGTTTGCAAAGAAAAATAGTAGTTTTGTTCAGTCTTGAAAGTGATATAGGCATTTCTTTGTTGAGCCATATATACATATTTTACCCGCCTAATTGTGATGTATCGTAGTTATCCTCTTTGAGCCTATAATCATGTTTCTTTGGCAACCACATTATAAGCCTTACCAAATTGTTTTAATTGATCATATATTTGAACCTTTTCACTTCTCATGAGCACTTGAATTGCTATGAACTTTGTAAAAGTTAAAGTGTGAGGTGGTGGGTATGGCTTTTGAGTGGAACTAATGGAATAAGGAAAAAGGTGAATTGTGTTGAAAATATATATATATATATATATATATATATATATATATATATATAAGAGCCACTTGAATTGAAAAAGAAAGAAGAAGAAAATAATACAGGCATATATACATTATTTGATAGTGGTGGCTCTTGACATACTTGTGCTTAAAGATGTAGGGAGTTAATCTAGATTGATGTGAAAGTGGAGTTTTGGTTTGACATAAGTGGGGTTTGAAGGTTAAAGTATATGTATTAAAGTGCTTAGGGAGGTGTAGTCACTCTTAAATCTAAATGTATCCTACCCGTCCCGCAGCCTACATTACAACCAATTAAAGTCCTACTTGATCTTAGACTGAATGAGCTTGATTAGTAGAGTAGTACACTACGGGAAAGCCTATGATGCATCTTTTGTGGCATATGAATGTTATTTCTGAGAGTGAGTGAATTCTTTCTATCTCGAGTTCCTAAATATTCTTAAATTTTATTGTGTGGGACTACTCTCTTTTGTTGTGTGAGGGCACTTGATTCAGGAAGGAGAGATAATGTCATTGACCTCTATGTTAGAGTAAGTGGGTGAGTGACTAATGCATGGTACTTTTGAGTCGACTCTTGAGGATGGGATGTTATGATAAGGTGCTCAGTCTACTTTAATTATTCTTGGCATGATGTATCAGGGAAGTTGTTTGATGAAAGGTTATCCCTAGGTACAGTGTAGTTCAAATCTCGAGGACGAGCAATTGTCTAAGTGTGGGGTGTTGATGTTAGGCTAGAAACTCGTATTTTAGCCGTGGTATTACATTCCAATGATTGCATTTTTATATGCATTTGAGCTCAAATGATAGTGAATTACACTTAGTACGTGTTTTATGCTTTGCAGGAAGCGATCTGGAGCTCAAAAGTTAATTTGGAGCTAAATTGATCAATTTGGAGCTTTGAAGTCTGAGTAAAAACCCAATGCATTAAGCCGGGATCGTGTTTGGAGGTCGTGTACTAAGTCTGGATGTTAAAAGAGGACGAAAAAAGTTCACTTTGAGAAAATTACAGTGTTGCGCCGCATGGGGAGCCGCAAGGCGCGGCGCAGCAGTGTAAAATTGAGCCTGATTCGAAAATATGAGGCTGCAGATAAAATGCACTACCGCGGCGCAGCCTGCGGCGCGGCTATTCAAATTTTACAGCGCTAGTTCCTAGTTCGCGCAGGAAAGGGTTTTTTCGTCTGGTCCCGACTTTACTTGGTATAAATACATGTAAAAATGTCATTTTGAAGACTTTTGCCATATCTTAGACCTAGGGAGGCTATTGAGGAATGGAGAAAACGTTTGTAGAAATTTTCGGAGGAGATTGGCATCAAATTCTTCATTCCTTCATCTTTGCTTTGTAATTTAATTATGCAATTTATTTGGGAAATTATGAACACTGTTATGAGTAGCTAAATATTTAGTCTAGGGTTTTGACGGAACCTACTGAAAGATGAACTTCTTGTTATGTTAATATAGTTTGCCTGATTTAATCTCTATTTGTTCAATTATGTTCTTGTTGTAGTTAATTGATAAGATCCTCAATTAGCTGTGCCTATTTAGTGTGCATAACTCGGGAGAGAGTGCATATTTAGGTAATTGTTGAACAACACCACTCCCAGAGTATATGAGGGATCAATAACCGAGGGTTTAAAGACGAGATTAGGGATAACGAAGTCTTCGGTGCAATCTAATGTGAGCTGTAATAAACAAAGTCAGCTAGCGTAACTTGGAAGAATGCGTCTAGTAAATAGTCGTGATTACTCGGGAGAGATTTATGGTAAGAGTGTTCATGATTGATAGAGACAATTAGGTGAATCTACGTGAAACATAACCGGAAGTGATTCCATCAATAGGGGAAACCATAATCTTAGATCCTTCTCTTAATTGTTTACAACTTAATCATACTTAGTCTTTACTTACATAATTGTAGTCCATCATAGTTAGTAAAAATATCCTCAATTGTTATTCAAAATATTTGGGAAATTGATTACATAGAATTTATGAGTCTGATAAGAGTAATTGGTAGGTTAATTCCTTGTGGGTTCGACTCCAGACTTATAAACCGGATTATATTTGCAACGTCCGCGTGTCCTTTTTATAATGCATAGTTGGGCGTGACTATGTACCATAAAAGTTTAGAAACATTGTATAAAATAGTACATATATAAAGGTGTAATGATAGATTTTGAATAACTTCTATAGTCGGTATGGTTTGATTTTTTAAGTTATTTTTTATTAAAACCAAAAACAAACCAAATTTTATCGGGTTTTAAAATTCAAAACCAAAACCAAATCAAAGCAAAAAAGTATCGATTTTTTTGGTTGGATTGGTTTGATTTTCGATTTGGTTCGATTTTTCGGGTATTTATGAACACCCATAAATGAAACTCTATATAATATGGAAATTTTTACCTAGCTATACTATAATAGAAACCTGTTTACCACCTTTATTTAAGTTTCTTATTAATTATTTTGTATATCTATATTTACTAGTTATATACAAAACCATAAGAAAGAAGAATTCAAGATCCCTTAACTCTAGCCTATCAGTTACATGACACCCAACCCCCATTTCCAATAATTCCCCATACATTTAAGACTCTTTCCTTTTCCAAAGGATTATAAAAACATTTTTTCTCTTTCTTAGCAATTACCCAAAATTGTTCTTACCCACAGTAAGAAATTTCGCTTACCCAGTGTTATCCCCCCAAAATTGTAGATTTTTTTCCTCTTTCAAAGCTTTTGAAATTCAATTTCTCTCTTTCTTACTAATCACCCAAAATCTCTATTTCTTATTGATACAATGCAGATGAAATTCGAAATATTACTCTAGAATCAAGTTGTGGGTAAATTTTGAATTTTGTTTTCTTTCTTTCTAAAATTTTTATTATATTTAACTTGTATATAATACATCAATACCTAAAACAATACTCGATATAATACTAATATAATTATATTACGATTATATTAAATTTTTAGTGTAGAGTTGTGATTGAAACTTGAAGAAGGTGAAGATCATAATTGTATCACAATTTTTCAGAAATGTATCCCGATTGTATTATAATTGTATATGTATCATTATTTTTGCAGGAATTATATTACATATGTATGATAACAGTATATTTACTGTATATTGTTACGAGTTGTTGTGAGTTCGTGACGAATTTTACAGTTTCTATTACAAATATGATAATTGTATATTACTTTATTAGTATTGTATCAAGAATTATTTTGGGTATTAATGTATTAGATACAATTATGATACAAGTATGATACATTTATATTTTAGGCATTGATGTATATGATATAATTCAAATACAATTATGAATACAGTTATGATATAATTATCATACAATTTCTGAATATTTTTTAATAATATAAAAGTTGTCAAAAATGGTGGGAAGAGAGAAGATGGAGATTATAGGCGTAGATTAAGGGATTTTGATGTAAAAAAAAGAGAGAGAGAGAGAAGAGGAGAGGAAAAAAAAAAGAAATGATATAATTGAATCTCTTAATTGAAGGCACTAATAATGGGGTAAGAGCCTTTTGAGAAGTAATATATATTATTTGTAAGAAAAACTTAGATACTTATTAAAAACTCTAAAAATATAGAGAACATAGGTAAATAAGTTTCTAATATAGTATAGCTAGGTAAAAATCCATGTAATTGCAATTAGAAGTAAACAATAGTTATACAAAGATGGATGAAAAAGTCAATGTATCTTCACAAAAATAGCTGACCGAATTTACTATTTACTTTTCCTAGCCAATATATATCAGATTATACATTGATATATAAAGTTTTATATATATACACACACACACACACACACACACACATATATATATATATATATATATATACATATATATGTATATTACCTTATACACATTATAATGTTTCGGCAAATACTGTTCAATTAACCACCATTGGCCACACATACAAATAAATAAAATGCTCTCGTCGAGAGTCAAAGTGAAGACCTCCGCTTGCGACTGCTCTAACCAACTGGGCTACGAGAGCTTGTTGTTCTCTTGTTTCAGTTTAAAACAATTGATCTCTTATTTCTGGATTGCAGGTGAATTTGCTATAAAATGTAAATATAGATACGAATGATAATTTTCTGAAAGTATATCTACGAATGATGAGTCAATTAATCAAATAATTATTTAACTATCCGAATTTACTTAGTAAAACTATTTTTTTCTTGTAACAGAAAAAAGCACTTAACTATGACTATAACGCGCTCAAAAGATCACTCAACAGAATTGTCAAACCTTTAATGGCCAAGTATCTATTTTACCCTTTAATTTATCAACCTTTGCCTTTTTAAATTTTTATTATTATAATATTTCATCCGTTCACTTTTTATAATATATACATTACACATCTACTGACTATATTAAATTTAAACAATTGGATCAGCTATTTAGGTTAATTCTTCAAAAGTCAATACAAGACTGGGGAGAACCTATTGGGCCCAATATCCATTAGATTGATCAGCCCACAAACTCTTCTCCCGTGGGCTATGAGGCCCCTTTTATAAATACTCGCAAAAATCGTCCCTTCCTGTTCTTCCGTTTACTTGTAGAGAAAGAAGAGAATCCTTTTACAGAAGAACCAAATCTACATTCGAAAAGCTCCGATCAGAGATGGATCCAAAGCTAAAGGAAGTTTCACAATTTTTCGAGCGATTCAAAGCCGCTTTTGTGCGTAACGATTTCGGCGTTTGTACCACCCTACTCTCTCAGCTCAAGGTAATCGCTTCAATCATTCATTACCACTGCTTAAACTCGTTCAAAACCCTAGCTTTTTTGTTCATAATTTTGCTCAATTTCTGAAATGTACGATGATTAGAAGTATTCTCTTCAATTAGCTTAAAATGCTTATCTTTGTGGTGATAATTATAATTATATATGCCGATTTTATGCGGAACGATTTTGATGCTTGCAGTCAAACTCGTCTAAGACCCTAGCTTTTATTTTTGTAATAATATTACTCCTCTTATGAAATGTGCTATTTTTAGATTTTACTTTTATGCTGCCTTAAAAATCTTCTCTTTGTGATTGCATTTATTGTGAAATTCCACACTTCTGTTAGGAACGATTTTGATACTTGCAAGAGGATATCTTTCAGCTCAAGGTAGTGGATATCACTACCGCAGCTCAAACTCATACAGAACCTTAGCTGTAGTTGTCATAATTTAGCTCTTGTTCTTGAACACTTCCTATTCTGTTGCCTTAGAAGACGTATCTTTATGATAGCCCCGAATGTATGGTAGGCGCACTTTACGAGTCCGAACCATGTTGAGGCCAAATCCTGGTATTTAAGTGGGAGGGGAATACAGAGACGGGCACATACTACCCCGAGTTTCAGAACCTTGTGCCACAACAGGGGTGGGCCAGCTAACTCATAGGAAATTTCTTGCTTATAAAAAGAATCTTCTGTTAAGATAATCTTCTTTATGATATTCTAGTTTGTGCTTTGATGATCGTGTCATGTTTTTTAGCTGTCTAACATGCAATTAATGTGAAAGAGCATAGGATACTATGCTTCAAGGTTTATTTTGATAGGAGATTAGGTAGCAATATCTCAAATAGAATGTTTGGACCTAAAAAAGCTTCAAATGAGAGACATATCAACTTACACAGTCCATTCTGTCCCGTATTTTCCAATGAACATTTAAAAAGGGAGAAATGGTGGCTTAGAGATATTCGGTAACTTAGTCCATCGTCACGAGCTGGATACAACCAGCACTTCTAGGCAAAAGACTGATCCACTGATAAGTGTGAGATTTAGAGAACCTCTAGTTTTAGGGAAATCCTGAATGGACTATTTGGAATGAGATGCACCAAACAGAGCTGAATTTACATAGGGGAGTCATAATAGCCAACCTCGACTAGTTTATGATTGGGGCATAGTTGGTCAATTGAGGAGATAAGGTACCAAATATATATTGTTTTTGTGCGATTCTAGATATTAGCAATGACTTCTCTTACCTTTGTTTTGTTGTTTTTTAAAATATAAAGGACTTCTTTACCTTGTTGAAATCAGTTTTAGTAAACACTTTTTTCCCGCTAACTATGATTTTTCTTATTGATGTTTTAGGTTCTGTTGACCGAATTCAAAAGCCTACCTCCCCTATTCCAAGAAACACCTAATGCCATCCATGAGTTGACAATTGCAAGTAATGTTCTGCACTCTTCTTCATCTTATTTTGTTTATTATGTTCGCCTAATTGCTTCTATAGATGCTGGTGTCTGGTTGTTGATTGTGTATCTATGGATTATAAGTACATTATTTTGGAGATACAATGTTCTGTTATTCTCCTTCGGGGACATCCGATAAAATTGGAACGATACATAGAAGATTAGCATGGCCCCTGCGCAAGGATGACACTATTTTGTTTTTTTTCCTTCCCTTTTTCGACATTCTTTCACCACTATGTGATATGCTCTAAAATTGAAAGTGTAATGTTATGTAGTCCAACCGTTTGAAAAATAAAAAAGCACACTAGGAGAAGGAGCAGCAGTGTCTCCGAACAATTTGTTACAGTTATTACTTTATTAAAATTAAATAGAAAATGTCCTCCAAGCATGCAAGGCATGCTTGAGTTCTTTTATATATATATGAAATCAGCTACCTTTTTCAAAAAAGTATGCAGGGCATGTATTCCATGAGGCCGTCCGAATGTAGAGTGCTTTTCTCCTTGCTTGGTGAATCGCTATTTCTGATCATGTCTGGAAGTCTAGGAAAGGCAGAAAGTTGTTTGCTTGTGATTATTATTAGTATCATTATCGTTGTAGTTATAATTTAACCAAAGACCAACTATTGTTTGAAAAGTTAAATACTATGTTTCTTTCTCAGATGGAAATGTTAATTTAAGTGAAGGGTGACCAAGTTCATGCTCGGGAATACATTGCAAAACTTTATTGCCTGTGATTTCAGCTTGTTATACTCTTCTGTTTTGCTTATTGTTGAGATTGTTTTTGGCTTACTAATACTATGTGATTTACCTGAGTTTCAGCCATGTGTATTTGGAGCTTGGTGAAATTTTATGGTTTTCTCAATTGTCTACACTAATAGAATTCGATGGTATAACAATTCACAGGAGATATTTACGAGCATGCAGTTGTTTTATCTGTGAAGATGGAGGACCAAGATGCTTTTGAGAGGGACTTTTTTCAGCTAAAGTCTTATTACACAGATGCACGGTATCTATGTACTCAAGCTTTAGATCCAGATACCATTTCATTCTTCTGTGCTTGTTTGACAAAAGGGAGCAATACATATATCAACTGAGGTGGCTGAGTTAGATATTTAAATTGCTTTTCTGCTAGTTTGAATCCCTGATTTCAACTAGGATATGCTTTAGGACAAGGGGGGTAAATGCCTTAGAGCATAGTTGGGTTGGTGTATGTTAGTAGCGGTCTAGTTATTCTTGTCACATCTTTGTTTTTGTCATATTAAGACCTGCTGGTTGAGTCTGTTTTATAGATGCATAGCAATTGAACTGAAAAGAAGGTGCTTATCGTCTTCTCTTTCTTGTGATGATGCAGTGGTCGTCTTCCACCTTCCCCGCAGGAATACCCAATCTTAGGTCTCAACCTTCTGAGACTCCTTGTACAAAATAGGATTGCTGAATTCCACACTGAACTTGAGTTGCTTTCTCAAAATGCTTTGAACAATCCATGTATAAAGCATGCTGTGGAATTGGAGCAATCTTTCATGGAAGGGGCCTACCACCGGGTGTTGAGTGCAAGGCAGACTGTGCCAGATGCAAACTATGCTTATTTCATGGATCTGCTTGCAAAGACTGTGAGGTAAATTAATTCGTTTCACCCACATTCTATACTAATAGTAGCACTTGGCAGAACAGGCTGTAGATAATGACTGCAATTTTTGCTCTCTGGTGATTGGAAGTTTTTGGGAGAACATTTTGTTGGACTGTTGCCTAAGCTTAATATTTATATGTTCATTGGTGTAGCTGCAATCATGTTAGAGGGGTCACTTATTGCTTGATTAATGAAGTGAGATCTTTCAAAGATTAATTAGATCTACCAGAAATACTTTCTGAAGAAATTATTCAATTCCAAACAACATAAAGAAAGTTAGAAATATACGACTCTTAATTAAGAATAGAAATTCATCTTTCTCCTCCTCCCGGATTTGCCTTATTCCTTGCACTACTTAGTTAAAGTGAAAATCCTAAGTTGAGAAAAAGAAATCCGCCTGAATTGAAATTCTGATTACATCTTTAACTTACTGTCATTAATTGATAATTTCACTGATATTTATTCTATTTATTTGAAATTTTATATTATTGGGGATATGCATGCGAGCAGGCACACACACATTCATACATATTGTTTCGTAACTGCACTTTTATTTTTACCTATAGTAAGGTACAGTAACTGGTTTAAGCCTAGTTTGTTTTAAACCAAATAGAAAGCGGTTAGTCTGGCTGCTTGAAGCTGGACATATTGAAAGTACAACCATATTAAAGCCTCCTAAAATCCCATGTATTGTTTAATTTTTTACTGCATTGTCAAGAAACTCTGGCTTTGTGTATATATATATCTCTGTGTGTGTGTGCGCGCGCGCGTATGTATTGTATGTACTCATCAAAAGTATATGCATATCTGTGTTCTCTGAATGTGTATTAATAACCAATCACCTTATAAATCTTATTGTACCAAAATGTATTGCCATGTTACATGTTAGTCTTTAGATTGAAATGGTGCAACTCCTCCTGTCATTCGTAGGGATGAGATAGCTGGATGCAGTGAGAAAGCTTATGATCGTCTTTCAACTAGTGATGCTCGGCAAATGTTGCTGTTCTCCTCGGATCAAGAACTTCTTGAATATGTTAGGGAGGTAAACTGTGTCCCCTTGTCTCCCTCTCTCCGTTTAGTTTTTTGGTAATTGAAGCAAATTTTGTTAAAATAGCTTGCAAGAAGATCTCATTGGCTAAGCTTGTCCAAATCTCCATCATCTCCCCTTTCCAACCCACAAATCATCCTCAAGCCTGCTGAATGCTCTCGTGTAACCACCCCCCACCCACAAAAAAAAAGTTGGAGAAGTAACAGTTAACCAATGTATGCAATGGAATTTTTTCATAGCTCTCTTGCCCAGCACAAAGTACCTTTGGTATTGCATCTCCATTATGTCTGCAATAGGTGGTGTACAAGGAGCTAGTACAGCTAGTAGATTGAGAGTAGATGAAGTACGTTGGATAAGTATACCCCTCTGATGAGTACTGCTTCTGCAATCATGCTAATCCTTTTTAAAGTATTTTAATATTACGACAAAAATACCTTTTTATCGTGCCCACAATGGCATCCCCAAATGGTTGTTGGGAACTGACTAACTTTGCAACCATAAACTGTGATGAACTCTCGATATAATCACCCCTCAATGAAAAATAGTTTTCATAATCTAAAGATCAAACCTCATTTTAGGATTTGCTTGGAAGTTGGAATCGAAGCAGAGTATTTCTTAAGTTTCTGTGTGTTCGTCCCCACCACACTTCTCCTTTAAGCCACTGATAGCCCCTATCCTTGGCCTTCTTATCCTACTCAATCCTTCAAGGACAACTGTGAAATGCACAGGGATAAAGGTATCCTCTTGCCGTGAACCTCTTATACCATATAAGGCCTATCATTACCAAGTATGGATAGTTTCACTGTAGGGATGCACATTCTTATCCGTTGGTCCACCTATATCCCAAATCCAGTTTGTGCTTAACAACTGGGATCAAAGAATACCATTGACTTTTTGGAAGTCTGGCTTGAATTATATACTGCACACCTTAGTAACTGTTGACTATTGAATAAGGCTACATTCAGATTCTGTCTCGCTACCACAAAAGCGTTGGAGTCGAGAAACAATACTATTCAGCATTTTGTAGTATAGTAGCTTGATAGTGGTGTTGCATTTACTAAGATAATAAGCGTTAAATATTTGATATTGGTGATGCACTGATCCTTCCTTTTTGAGTACCAAAGCAATAAAAGCTGGGTGCCCCATGCTTCTTTAATCAGATATTTATATTCTGGATGTGTAGCTACCGGTAGATAAATGGCGCCTTCAAGTTGTGTATTTGCCTTAGAATCCTTCTCTGTTAATGTTAATATCTCACTAGTCTGCTTTTTAAACTAGTTTAACCATTTCTTTGCCTGTAAGGCTGATCAATATGAGCACTGCTTGTTTTCCTTTTCTTGAAATCATCTGATCAGAGGGTGCTGTGCAGGAGCATCCTGAGTGGGAGATCAAAGATGGGTTTATCGTCTTCCAAAAAGTAAAAGATTCTGTGCCTTGCAAGGAAATACCATCCCTTCAGCTCATCACTCAAACACTCAGCTATGCAAGGGAGTTGGAGCGAATTGTCTGAGAGGATATGCCTCTCTGTTCCTTTTGTCACTTCAACATTTCATATATTCAACTCTTAGTAGTTGACATTTCGTTGTTCTGGTTGAATTCATTGCCTTTAACCTTCATTACGAGCTAATGATAATGAAAAGGATGTGTTACGGGGACCAGTTTTTGTATCTTAAACTGATTGTGCAACTTTCTTTTTTGTGTTTAATCTGCATTTAAAGTCAGATATATTTAATCTGTTGCTTATTTCATTCCACATTTAGTGAAAAACACTTTGCCTGTTTCATTAGGAGGTTTCTGTGTCTGCATATATTTGTTGCTCTCAGTATACGGCCGTGGGTCACTGCAACATCTCTGTGTGATGTGTGTTTTTCCTTTTCGGAATTTGCATCATTTTCCTAAGTTTTCGAGAAGAATTATAATCGTTGTATTTGTGGTCGACTAAATCCAGGCATTAAGATGAGGACTAATAGTCAGGTATCAACCAAAAGAAGGAAACGAAAAAACCCAGGACTAGTAATGTGGTTCATTTGGTTCTTGCACAAGGAACAAAGCCAGTTAATCTTGTTTTTTAACGGGAATAGTAGGATTAGGAGTAGATTGAGAGGAGTGCTGCAATTGCAGTATGGTAATTATTTTTGAGAATGTGTTTTAGTAAATGACAGGATGAGTATGTGATAAGGCAACCCCAAAAGTCAAATCCATATTTAAACTAGGTTTTTGGTTAATGAATAATGCGACTCCAAATAAGATCATATAATTGATGTCATAACCTTAATTTGTTTAAGAAAATTAGAAAATTTTTTGCTAAAAAGTGTTTAAATTTAATAGTATCATTAAGAATAATAAGCGTCCGTATAGTCTTACCAACAAGGTGAAAGTTTAAGCAGTCTAATAAGAGTTTGTGGTCGATTTCGTATTTAAGTGTAATATAATCACTAACCAAATAAGTCAATATTGCAACACTAAGAAGATAACGTGAAATGAATCCAAAAAGAAACTTGACTTATTTAACAAGGAAATATTGTATATTGCCTTTAATAGGGGGACAAGCTTTAGGGTACGCGCTTTGCGCGTGTATATATCAGTGAGTGTTCAATTTTTAAAAATTTATATAAATATTATTTCCTGTATTTTAATTTACATGACATATTTTTCTTATTAAAAAAAGATAGATAGATAGATAGATAGATAGATAAACTCATGTATATTTTTTAGTTGTGGACTAAGACAATATATACATAGTAATTAATATTAAACAAAGATCTAATGTTATTTGTTATTAGTCCTTTTATATTTAGAAAAATATAGCTTTCAACTTGCAACTTTGAATAATTTTGATACAGAATTTTAATTTTGTGAGTTAGAAATTTTCTTTTCTGTTTCTTTTAATCTCAATTACTAATAACGTTTACTGCCTTCAACTTTTAGAAAATACTATTCCACTAACCAAAACTATTAAGTTTGCTAGTAAACTTCTGTGAGTTTATTGATTAGTGCAACTTATGTACTAATAATTTGTAATTGTAACCTTCACCATATGATGAAATTTCTGACCTTGACCAATTATTTGTTTGGTTAAATTTACGTTTTTGTTGTTAAACTAAATGTCTCATAACACAAAATAATTCATCATCTTTCTATATATTTAAAGGCTCTTGATTACTAATAAATATTTCATATGTTTCAAATTAATTAGAATAAATTTTTGACTATTTACCCTTATTTGTGTCTTTAATATAGTATCTCTTTATTACATTTACTTTATTTATGTGTCATCTTCATCTGCAAGAATAATTACTGCTTGAGATAAAATGAAAAAAAATAATTACTTTTGTCTTGAACTTCTGAAATAACAAATAATTTGAAATATCTATGTTTAAAAATTTCGATAAATAATTTGAGACAGAAGGAGTAGATTAAAATAAGCCATAGTAGTTCTTATTTTAACTCTAATTTCTCATCTAACTTTACTTTTAGAATAACAATAGTACCAAAAAAATAAATGGAAGAACCAATAATAGTAGTTCTTTTCTTCAAATTAAAAAGTAGTAGCAGTTCTTCATTTTTAACTTTAATGCCNTATTGGCTTATTTTAACTCTAATTTCTCATCTAACTTTACTTTTAGAATAACAATAGTACCAAAAAAATAAATGGAAGAACCAATAATAGTAGTTCTTTTCTTCAAATTAAAAAGTAGTAGCAGTTCTTCATTTTTAACTTTAATGCCTTGAATGCAAGTCTAACGTTTAGTTGTGAAACCTTGAAACAATGTCAAAATTAGTTCTTATATTTGGTCCTAAATATTACTACGTAGGATTTTGAATTATAAAAGGAAAATTTTAGTTGATTTAAATGTCCTAAATATTAAAATTTCCTACTATAATAAATAAAGTTTTAGTTGATTTTAAAATCCTAAATATTAGGATATTAATAAAATGACTATTTTATTCACTATGAACTCTATTTTTAAAGGGTAAAAAAAGCGAAGGACATTTCGCTAAGGGCTTTCGTACTTTTAATATAGTATGGGATTGAAATTTGAAATGCACTTATTAGCCGCGACGAAAACATTAATTAATAAATAAATATTTACAGCTATAACAACAGGAAAAAGAATTCTCAGCTGCAAATAATTGCAATTACCTAATCATATCCTATCAATGTCCTTTTCGTTAAGGTATGTGAGTCCGTGACCACCTTTATTTTTTGACATATATTGTCTGAATCAAAAACAGTGGATTTAAACAAGTAATGAAGGCTAGATCCGCTCCTAACACTTTATATTTATTTCTCCTCTTATGCTATATATCTTATGGTTGTGTTACGTTTGGGGTTATGCCATTTAATAAGTAATTTTTCATTTCCTAGTAGGCACATTACTATTCACTCTACGGGAATAAATAATAACAACTCAGTATAATTCCACCAGTGGGGTCTAGGGAGGATAGTGTGTACGCAGACCTTACCCCTACCCTGGGGTAGAGAGGCTGTTTCCGATAAACCTTCGGTTCCCTCCCTCCAAGAACTCTCACCTTACTCTTGGGTGACTCGAATTCACAACCTCTTTATTAGAAGTGGAGGGTGCTCACCACTGGATCAACCCACTCTTGTCTATTCACTCTAAAAAAAAAAAAAAAAAAAAAAAAAAAAAAAAAAAGAAAGCACTACTCTTTAATACCACGTCTAAATTATTGACTTATTTCTACGCAATTTAATGTTATATTTATATTCTTGTAACCTTAGCGCTTCACCTTTAATGAAAGTTTGCTTTTTTCCCAATTATTTTGGTGAAGTAGTTATAGAATCAATTATGGCCTTTATTTAGCCAACGTTCCCTCTATGCTAAAGTAAAGAGCTTCTCCAAATACCAACATCCAATAATAATATATTTTAAATTTTCGTACCTAACCACAAATTTTAAACATGTCAAATGATAGCATAGCTTACGTAGCTTTTTTGAAACTTTTCCTCCAATACTGACAAATTATATAGCAGATTTTCTTCTTTAAGAAAGTAAAGACAAAAAGCATAAAGAAAAAAAAAATCAACTTTCTCATGTAATAAGTGGAGATATTCTTTCCTTACTAATTACCACAAAATCCATCATCAATATTAACCATTATTAATATTAAACTGTTCCAAAAAGAACTCAAAGCCTAAATAGAAGAAAGTTTAGTGTGTACCTCTTTAACATGTATGATTACACTAAACTGAATACAAAATGTCCACAACATCCCAATGTTGTTAAACTGAAGAATTCAAGTAAATAGAGCTTAACAAATGAACTTTGGTTGATTAATCCTACCACAACAAAATCATGTTAGTTGAGCATTGTGTCTAGTTCAAAGAAAAGAAAAGCTACCCAAAGATAATAGTCGGACGGGAGCAAATCTCAGCACGGATGCTAAATAAATGAGAAGGAGGGTGTGTGCGACGCTTATGATGGAGGTTGAGCTAATAAAGGCAGATAAAGAATGAGTAAATATGACATTTTAAGCAAATCTCATATTAAAAAAAAGAATAAAATAAGGTATTATATAAAAAATATAACTTTACATGGAAGCACGTTAATGTGACCTAGCTCAAGAGGCAAATCCATATGACCCATTGTGCAAAAGTGAACAATACATACGTTGACAAATCAATAACTATTCTTTTGTGTGGGGGGTGGGAATAAGAAAAAAAATAAGCTACCCTGAAAACGAGGTAAAACATTTTCAACCATGAATTTTGGCACTAAATGTTAAAAGCATATTATTTGGAGGATAATGGTTCTTGCCTTTGAGAAACATGCCTCACTTTTCAGATTTCACTATATATGTATTTATGATGACCCATTCCTTTTTGGAATTTAGATTCTTGATACCCCACAATCCTGTCTCTCCCACATCTCTTCCCACCACTTGTATTATTGATCTTTTGTCCCTTTTCTGCTCTCTATTTACAGTGTTTCTCACTTTCTTCTTCTCCTGAGTTTGCCAGTTACAATAATTCATTCTTGAATAGCAGGTTTGAACAAAAAGTTTGAATCTTTATTTTACTTTTTGTGGGATTATAGTATGTATATATATATATATATAGTTCAACCACTATAGTCTAAAGCTTGTTTACTTATATAACTAGCATCTCTCCTGTGTTTTGTCGGGGATTCGCCTGGGGTGTCACATATTTAATAGCCGAGCGTATTAGTGATATTGTTCGCTTTGGACCTAAGCTTTCAGGGTTTTAAAACACGTCACTATGGTCTAAAGCTTGTTTACGTATATACCCAACATCTCTCCCGTGTTTTGTCAATTCAACGTGGGATTCGCATGGGGTGTCACAATATAAGAGGGTCATAAACATTTTTATCCTTTATATTGCAGTTTACATAGATAAGTTCAGGGGTATACTCTGTTCTTTTTGAGTTATTGTCAAGAATCAAATATATTTAAAGTTATCACATGTTTCTTGTGTCCTTGCTTTTATTGAGTAAAAAGTTGCACGTTTACTCCTGAAAAGTGAAAAATATTAGTAGTACTAACATTGGTAATTTCATTGGTGGCAGGTTTGAAAAAAGTTTCAGTTTTTTCATCTAACAATGGGAAATGAGTTTCCATCATTTTTGACAGCAAATGGTCCTCAAGAAAGCTCCAACTATGATGAAATATTTATGCAGCATAGTTTGCAGTTCTCTGATAGTTTAAAGGTAGATGCTTTAATTTCTCCATTACAAATTCTATGCTTAATTTTCATGTGATAATATATAAATCTTGGTTTTATGGTATAAATGGAGTTTTCGTTTTTATTTAGGTACACTATTAGTGTAGTTTTGCTATGTTATATTCGCTATGGTCCATTTTAATTGATTTTTTGGCCTTTCCTTTTGTGGTCTTAATATTTGATTTTTTAAGATATTCAACGTTGCCTTGAAGTAAAGAGTCTTGAAGTATCTATTATATTTCCAATGAACAAATTAGGTTAATATGGTCAACTTCGTTAATTAATGCTAAAAGGTGAATTCTTTAATGTGTTAAAACAGCCAAAAAATCAATTAAAGTGAACTGGAGGGAGTATCGGGTTATCACTTTACTTTCTAAGTAGGAGTGGCAAACGGGCGGGTCGGGTCGGATGTGGTTCGGGTCGAGACGGGTAATGAAAAACGGATAAATTATTCGACCCGGCCCATATTTAATACGGATAAAAAATGGGTTGACCGGCAGATAATATGGGTAACCATATTATCCATGACTTCTTACATATGATCACTTTTGAGAGAATTCTTAGTCTCCTTAACTTGAGGAACCCCTAATTTGAGGCTTTACAAATATAAAAGTTAGATCAATGGGTTACCCATTGGTTATCCATTTTCTAAATGGATAATATGGTTTTTATCCATATTTGACCCGTTTTTAAAAAGTTTATTGTCCAACTCATTTTTTAGCGGATAATATGGGTGGTTAACTGTTTTCTTTTAACCATTTTGCTACCTCTATTTCTAAGTTATGATACCAGACTTCAAATAAAGAGTTAATTATTGATGTAGCTAAACTTTACGTGCTGGTGTCAAAAACCTCAGTATACAGAACTTAAACTCTTGGTTTGTGGTAATTAGGACTTGAAGAATTTAAGGAAGCAGTTGTATTCAGCTGCAGAGTACTTTGAATCTTCTTATGGGGAAAATGAGCACAAAACATTGTAAGTCTAAAGTCATTCCCTTTCTTATTGAAAATTTTTGTTAACTCATTGGAGTTTTACTAATTCTTTGTTAAAAAATATGTGGTACAGAGTGATAGAGACTTTGAAAGATTATGTGAGTAAAGCTCTAGTTAGTAGTGTGGATCATTTGGGATCTGTGGCATGTAAATTAAATAGCTTCTTGGATGAAAAAGTTGATGAATTTTCTACAACCAAGCTTCGTTTCTCATGCATGGAACAGGTAATATTTACCCCCCTTTCTCTCTCTCTCTCTCTCTAGACACACACACACACACCAGAAAGCATAGCTGGTTTATTTTATAAGATGTTAAATATGTCTCAAAGTTAGTTCCTTTACGTTAGAGTACTCCACGTTTGTTTGAGAAAATGTGTTAGTTATCTTTTTATATGGTTTTGAGCAATCCTCACGTGAGGTTAACTTAGGCCCGAGGTCTATTTTCTTGACATGTTAATAGGTCAGAGTCACCTCTATTCTCGGTTTACCCAATTTTGGGTCCCATGTTATGTTGTACACGTCCGAATGTTTAGCTCTGATCAGGGGCGGAGCTAGAGTGCGTGGACGGGTTCGGCCGAACCCACTAGCTTGGTTAAAACCTTATGGCTTTAATTAATGATATGAATATTTGTAGAGTAAGAATCATGAGTCTCATGTCTTACCATTTTTTTTGGCTGTTACTCCAAATTAGAAATTGCAAACATGCCAAGAATTCGTTGATCGCAGTGGCCTCTTGCAACAATCCTTTGTAATTCTGACTCCAAAGCAACATAAGCGTTACGTGACTTCAGGCAATGATCTTTTTCCCTCCTCTTCGTTAGTACTCCCTCTGTTCCAAAAAGATTGGCACTATTTCCTTATTAGTCTATTCCAAAAAAATTGACATCTTTCAATATTTTCTTAATTAGTCGCAATTACAGCCACACAAATGCTATGATAGATTTCAAACCACAAGTTTCAAAAGTTTTACAGACATACAAATGTTATGGCTTATTTAAGACTACATATCTTAAAAGTCTTTCATTCTTTATTAAAGTTTGTGTCAAGTCAAACTAAGACAATTTTTTTTAAACGGAGAGAATATTATTTTTACATTCAATACTTTTATGACAAACAAATGTGTTTTGCTTCAATTTCACTCTCAAGTGTTCACATTTTGTAGCTGCAGAGACACAATCTGCAGTTCTAAAACCTCGACAAAGACATAAGGAACAGAACCTGTGCCCTCAAGATGACCTGCAGCTGCCTAAGCAAGGTACTTTATTTGACATCTTCTTGTTCTTTTGGTGAATTGTATGACCATCTCATCAAAAAGTTTAAGCTATTAGCGAGAATACACTTTTTATTCACTTAAATATATCTTTGACAACCTAAACTTATATATAAAATGATCATACAATTTAATGAGGGGCGTGTTTAAACATAACGTAATTAACTAATTTATGTGTGATCTCTCAAGCAGTTTAAGCTTTTAGATGAGATGTCACGTAATTTACCAAGTTCTTTTAATCTTTGCCCTTTTGTAGTTCTTTTTCTTCTTAACTTTCTTTGATTCTTCTGTCTGCCATTAGGTGATTGTTTTCCTCATCCTTTTCAAGCTCTACCATCAAAGCCACATTCATATAAACCAAAGTACATGTAAGTTTTCGATAAATGAGGATACTCTTGATAAGTTTTTTTTTGTTAGTTTACCTTTAAAAGTAGTAATCATATGAAACATTGCCACAGGAAAAGGCATTCCAAGATTTCATGGACAGATGCTTCTCCAAATCCTCTCAACTTCTCGTTCACAAGGGTAGCATCCACCAAAGAAGTTGGTAAGTACCAAATTAAATTCTAGTTATACACAGTACAGTTCAAGAATGGGAGTCTTGGCATAACTGGTAAAGTTGTTGCCATGTGACAAGGAGGTCACGCGTTCCGAGCCATGGAAACAGCCTCTTGCAGAAATGCAAGGTAAGGCTGCATGCGTATGATAGACCCTTGTGGTCCGGCCCTTCCCCGGACTCCACGTATAGCGGGGGCGGAGTGCACCGGGCTGCCCTTTTACACAGTACAGCTCAAAAGACTTGGTAAATTATCACGGATTTACCTTCGTGTGTAGAAGTTGAACTCAATTAACACATTCAATAATGAAACAGGGAAAAGATCAGTTTCACCACTTAAATTTGCTCTCAAGCGCTCTGGATCTGTCAATAGATCAGTTTCTCCTCTCATGCGTTTTGGATCCGTTATCAGTAGATCAATTTCTCCCAGCACTTCCAATAATAAAGTGAGGGTAAGGACTTTTAGCAAGTACATTATGTTTGTGGCAAAGAAAAGTTGTATCTGTTCATACTAAATGATTGTATTATATGTTTTTGGATAAATATTACAGTGTCCATCTGAGCCACGGCGGGCAGTTTCCTTGTCAATAAATCCAGAAAGAAATGGTGCAAAGGATATTCAAGACTACAGCAGAAAGAGTAAAAATGTACTTACAGCATTCCTCAGCCTTCATAGTCATGGATCAAGAAAGGGAAATATACCTTCCAGATACCGCGACGACAGATGATGAAATCAGAAAATAGAGATATCTTCAAGTAATTTGGAATTTTGGGTGCATAAAAGATGTGTTAGCCTTCTTCTACAGCTAAAAGGCAATGCTTTCATCAATGGATAGTTAAGTATGAATAAGCATTGGAAATGAGGATGGAATCATGGAAATGGGAACTGGCTTACTGCATGGGCAAAGAAATGGAAATCCCAATAAAAGAAAGTTCAAAAACTGTGTAAAATGTAAACTACTATGCCATTTGCAGGGTAATGCCAACATCTCCTTTCAGAAATGAGATTAAATAATTTGAATAAAGAGAAAGAAAAACAAAAGACTGAATGTACAATGGTGCTTAATCAAAGAATAATTGAATGAACTAAGAGCAATGTAATTCAGAGTCCATTGCCTTCGTCTTGTAACCATACAAATTGGAACTTCCCCTGTACGTGTAAATTGTAAGTTCATACACGTTATTATGTCTTCATATTATTGTCTAGCAAACAACTAGAAGCAAATACATCAATTTTTGGTTTAATATTGTGATAATCTTGTAGAAACGTTGTAGTACTATACAACATATAGACTAGTGAAATAGTGTAATATAATGAACAGCTTTTGAATTCGAAATGAAAAATATATTGAGGTCTTACTATTGCATGATATGCATATGCGTGGCACATGCCCCTTCCAGTTCATACAAAAATTGTTAGCTTCTATTGTCAGTACTTTTTCACCATTTTTTCCTTCTACTCAATAGTAATTATGAATGAACTAGAATCATTATGATTCATTCTAGTCTGAGCATGCCCGCTATTGGTGAGTTTGCATACATCTTGAGAGAAAACCTCAGTTAATGTACTCTGCAGTTACATGCGAAAGAATAATACAATATGACAATAGTCCTCTAAAATCCAAGATCAAAACTAGGTAAATCATCCATTTTGTATGTACTGATATCATGAAGAGAATTCGTCTCAGTTGAGTGACAAGGGAACTGTGGAGGAGAATCATTTGAAACATCAGTAATAACACCAGAAAATCCCTCTTGCCTACGTTGAGTATCCATCTGCTTGTTATCGACAGCAGGCTAAAGAAAACAGCAGATACTGTCAGAATGCAAGTACTGGTGGCACAGTCGTACACAGATTTTCATCATAGGATACAGGTTTTGGTGGCAAAGTATTAATGTTATAATCCGCGTTAGGGGATGGATTTTGAGCAAATAGTGGATGATATATTGATGTTCCAATCATCTACTGTTAAGAGTTGATTGGCATGCATATAATTGTCATAATAGCTTAAAAAAAGCACCCCGGTGCACTAAGCTCCCGCTATGTGCGGGGTCCGGGGAAGGGCCGGACCATAAGGGTCTATTGTACGCAGCCTTACCCTGCATTTCTGCAAGAGACTGTTTCCACGGCTTGAACCCGTGACCTCCTGGTCACATGGCAGCAACTTTACCGGTTACGCTAGGATTCCCCTTCAATTTTCATAATAGCTTCCATCCAAAAAAAAAAGTCTAATTTCAATGTTCCTCTCCCCTGCTTTGTTTCCAGAAACCCATTTCTTTCCCTAGTTTTCAACTCCTATTCCCTCTTGGCCTCTTTTTCCCTTTTTCTCCTTTGTTACATGGGAGAAGGAAATAACGTTTTCCTCTTCATATTTGACTCAATACATTCACCATATGAGGGAGGGTGATATCATAATATAAACTGAAAGCTCAAAAAAGAAATAGAGAATTTAATGTCTTACCTTGTTGGATGCATGAGTCAAGGTGCAGGCATCAGTTAATGGAGCCACTGGGCCACTAGGATTATCTGCACAAGTAGAAGCAAATGACAGTAAATGTAGTTACTAGCAAAATTGATATGCTGGTATGTGTTCTAGAGGATGCTTGCCTTGCTGCGAGACAGATTCAGATGCATCCTCAATTTCCAAAATTTTATTAGACCTGTCGTGGCGGAGTGTTTCAACTGCTTGAATCTTAGAGTCTGACTCAGGAATAACCAAATGCTTCAGCTTTGCAGTTGGAGACCTCTCTGTGACAGTGCATTCTACATCACGCAAGCATATATCCATCTCTCCTAATCTGGAAAGAATTAATTCAAACCAAATATAATTTTCCAAATACTAGTTAAAACAGTCAAAGAATAATCACATATATAAGCCACTTTTAGGTGTGTTTTACCCAATAAGCCAACAGATAAAGCTGACAAATGGAAGTGTGCTTATTATTTATGTAACCATTTTTTATTCATGGCATGAAGTCAATACATACCCTGTAGACAAGCTTAATGACCGAGTATGATATACTCTTTGACCGGTGCAATCCGATGGTTGAGAAATTTCATCCAAATGGAATGCATCAGTAACTTTTATTTCTGAAAGGTTCGTGCCGCTGCTATGCGTCATGGTAGTTTGTTCTTCCCTATGCAATGATGAACTGCCTTTAACATTGAAGTCTTGCAAGAGATGTTCCTCTGTTTGACTCTTAATGTCACTGCAAACAAGATTTGATGACTGCAATACTTGGCATTCGTCTGCAAATGTGATGTCCCTTACTGTGCCAGCACCTTTCGAAGAGATCGGTTTTTTAAGAATGGACAAGATTTCATGAGCTGCCATGAGGCAAATAGCATCAGAAATTAACAGATATATTTAGCAATTGACTAGATTGGCCAAAAGAAAACTTTATGGACCTTACATTACCCAAAAAAAAGAAAGAAAGAAAACTAAAGTTTCTTGTAGTTCCAAGTTTAACTAACTTGATGTATAGCATTTGCAGTCCTTGATATTTATCTTTACATATTATGGACTTGGGGATCAATGGCTGTCGGCTGATTTAAAAATCAAGCTAGGTGGCCTCATACACTAACATTAAACCAAAGGCAGCCCCATTCCCAAGAAAAATCGATGAAAGTCATATAGTTTCAACAATACAAACATACAACATTGGAAGGAAAAACAATTTCGACTGGCTTCTCTTTTGAAGCTAAAACAGAGTATTATCTTTAGCATGTTCATTTGCATAAGAAGAAAGATAACATGTCATATCTGATTATACTTATTTATCCTAATAGTTTAAGGAGGGATATCAGCTTTGTTATTACATTTTGACAACACCCTATCAAATTTTGTTCCGCGAAATAACCTTATGACTTGCTTAGTGAAAAGCAATACATTGCAGTTTGCTGACATTATATTTGGTTCCATTAGGAAAGGGAGGGATACAGGAGAGAGAAACTCCTTTGTTACTTATCTTAAGTGGAAAGATTGATGATTTACATCCGGCTGTTTGGTGCGGCTTAGAGGAAGTAAAAGAGATAAGCTTCCTCCTTCCATCCAATTTTTTGGAGGGGTTCAAAAAGCAGCTATAACGGATTCAAACCCCTGCACTTGTATTTCTAAGTGTCCAGAAATTCAACCCCTACAATTTTACTTCTGAGTATCCAAATTTCAAATCCCTCCACTTTTACATCCTTAACCAACGAGAGAAACAATTGGTAATCCTTATTTTCTTCCCCCGTCCCACCAGTCCTTTTTTTACCCCAATCAAACATCATATATGATTTAAACAGTAATGTTTTTAATGTCACAGCCACTTTTTACTCCCGCTTTTTAACTCCACGGCCTCTTGCAGAAATGCAGGGTAAGGCTGCGTACAATAGATCCTTGTGGTCCTCCGCCCCTTCCCCAGACCCTGCGCATAGCGGGAGGCGGGAGCTTAGTGCACCGGGCTGCCTTCTTTGTTTGCTCCGTCTCTCCCACTTTTGTCCTAAACCAACTTGTCATATGTGGTTAACATTTAATTCCGTTTTCTTCACTTATCGAATGATAGAACGATTCGAAAGGGGCATATGTACGGCTTTGACTAAACGGCTAACTAAGGCTAACGGAACAGAATCGGAAGCAGAGGCAACAGAAAGAAATTAGAGAACTTATTTTAGAAGTTAATTATAATGAATTTTCTTGAATAATCTCGACAAGATCATCTGGAGAAAAGTAAAATTCTGCTGCTTAAATAAGGAAAAGGCCGACAGTTTACCTGCACGAACAGAGTTTGATCTGGAGATCCTACAATTCATTGTATTGTCAACAGAACAGCTTGCAGTCTTTGAGTCCATATGTTCCACTGAAAAAACTCCATTTTGAGGTTCCCCTGTTAGGCAATACCAATTGGGAGCAGGAAAAGTGAAACATAATGAAGGTTCTGGATGTAGGAAGTAAGATCATGAGTACTAATACTCATTTCTGATGCTGTAGTCGTGTGTGATGCTACGTTACAACAGGCTATAAAAACTGGAGGGCGAAATATATCTAGATCTATATATACTTGTCAAAAGTAGGAAACTTTGATGGCACAAAAGTGCACATAAAGATGAACTAAGGAAAGGAAAGGCAAGATTGTTTTGTTTCTAGAGATAAAACATTATTCTGTACACTAAATTGCCAACAGACTTACTATTAGGAATTGGCTTGTCAGAGGAGATTCTTCTACTTGATTTGATATTGTCGAGTCCAGATATTTTAAAATCAGATTGTGCATGCTCTCGGGAAGAAGCATCAGTTTGAGGTTTTCCTGCACATAGCAATGAAATCAAGTGCATAAGAGCATTTAGAACTTCTCAAACTAAGCTTATGTCAAGACAGTGAAAGCATATGATAGCTGAATTATCAATCTTACCTTACTGATTGAAGAAAGCAGGAATATTAGCCATGTGATGTAGAAAATTACCTTCTGGACTTGTCCTCATGTCACCAACTTCAACCAAATAATTTGACAGATTCAATGTAGTTCCAGTTGTGACATGTTCTGATAACTTGAGGAACCTTCGGCATAGTATGTTTCCTTCTTCTGTAAGTAGAGTAACCTGACTTGATTATGGAGTGAGTTTATGTTAGAACCAGATCATAAGTTTGAGATATGTAATATCACCAACTAAACAATTTGATTGACGTTTAGAATTAATCCAAATAAGGATAATCAAAACAAAGTCAGTTAGTTAATGTTGAAAGTCTGAATCAATTATTGATGCAAACATCTAGAATACCTGAATGATTAGCTTCCGAAAACCTTGGCAATCATAGAAATACTAGGCAGATAAACTGCTAAGATAAGCACAGTCATGCCTATCAACCAAATCCTTGGCAAACTAGACAACGATGAACTGAATTACAGTTGCATGGAATGGATGAATATAGAACTAACCTGAGATTGGTAGGAACCACAGGATGAAAGTCTAAGGATTCCATTATTGTACTTTTTTGCCTTTTGAGTTATCTGAGCTGTATACATGGCATCCCATTCTGTAATCGAAGTACAATAATAGTAGTTTATGAACAAGTCCGAGAGGATGCCCAGTAACTACCCGACAGAGGTGATGAGCTTAGAATAATGATTGGTTATTCCTGATTTGAAGTTCTAAGCCACAAAGATATATGAGCTTAAAAGAATGATTTGGTAATTCAGCCACAAAGCTATATAGATGTTATAAATGAATTTAAGGATCCCAAACTACAAAAACCTTATGGGTCATTTGATTCATGGACTAGTTATACAATGAATAATAATGTAAAAATTGTAATGTCGTAAATAATAATGGATTGTTATATGATGAGTAATATTAGAGGGATTGTTATGCAGGAATCACCTACTTTAATGGCATTGTTGTCTTTAGATGCTCTTATCCAGGGATTGCAAACATGCATATTCTTATTTCATGTTCTAACCAACATAGAACAATACATAAATTCTCAAATAAATTGTGCCGGTTAATGCAAAATTTAGATACAGAAACAACATGTTGCATAATGCAGAGTTTTATACTAAAAATCAAACATCTCATTCATTATGCAAAGATTGCACAATAAATGCAAAGTTTTATGCTGCAAATTAAACATTGAATCATTATGTGGAATTTTACGCGCAAACCCAACAAAGCTCATCAGTTATAAGTTCATGATTAAAGGAAGTGACAAACTGGATAGTCATTAAAAAGAAGAATCATCTATGGTAAGGTGGACTTCCTACAAGAGCATCAAGCACCATAATACTATTGTTACCAACCTAGAGCTTTATTTGGGCAAAGTCAGGCGTACCAGCAAGCAACTTATTGAGGACAGCAACTTCCCCGTGTACCGGTCCTCTTTTTCCAAGTTCCTTGATATGCTTTCCTCGAGGACTAATATCCTTTGGAGGCTTTTGGTCTCCCTTACATTCTCCAATATCCACCAAGTAACCATCAAATGTTACCGATTCACCAGAATCGATGTTCTCATTCTTTTTCAGAAACCTGCTAACTAGGAGTCTCCTGGTCGCATCATACAGCATGATCTGGAAACAATCAGAAACACTTTTTATCAAGCAAGAAGCCAACAATATAAGGACATAATATTTAGCATAAGTATGCACTTTATTTGAATATCTAGAAAAATATAGGAACTGTTCTTTCACAAAAGTTGCACCGCTATCGTTCATATTAGCTAAGCATAGAAACCAATGTCTTCAATATTAAGAATGAGATGCATCCTAACTGCTGAAAGGAACTTACTTAGGCATTGGGTCAGAGAGTTAAGTGTTAACTGTGGGACTTTGGGTCAAAAGAATATGAAAACAGAAAAGAGATGTTTTACTGCTGATTTAATATTCTTCATATTTTAGCTCAAAGGTAGCTGCCTCCCTATTACAACAGGCTCTAAAATCTATTGTTCTTCTCTTTCTCATTCCCCTTTCTCTTGCTCCACCCCTAATTCCCTGGCAATACCTTCTTGCCTCTCGGTATGTGCCCTCTTTGGAAATTCAAAAGTTGACAGATAATAAAATCTTGGTAAAGATAAAAAAATGTTTCTCTGCTAATGCATGCCTGATGAGAAGTATGAAACATAAGGTCATATTCACCATCCGAGTTTAAACTAGACTAATCTGATGTTGCTATCAATAGATTTAAGCTAATAAGTTCTCAAATTCAGCATGCAGCACTGGCTCTTGCATTAGCAAGACTTACAAAGGAATTACATTGGCTTAAACTGGTTAATTTTTAATATTGCTCTCATAAGCATGCAACAGCAAGCTTTTTGCATTTGGCCTGGGGAGGGAGCAGATTAGGTAGGTGAGGCAGTTCAAACACAGTAAAATTAGACCAAAAAAAGGATCAACATAATATTTTGAGAAGGTCCAAGCTCACAATTGTTAATGACAAGCTGATGCTGAACAGTGGAAGATGTTGACTATTTATAAGTTAGACAAGAAATAATTGCGGAAACCAACCTGTTTTCCATGTGAGCTAGACATCACCAGTCGCAAAATCCCATCATGGAACTTCTTTGCCTTTTGAGTTATTTGTGTGGTGTAGAGTACCTGCCATTCTGAATTTAGAAATAAAGTAAAAATTCATTCTCAGAAACTACATAGAGATGTCAAGAGATGCAATCTGTGAAAATTGATCTTTCAAATCCACTAACGGAAACATGATAGCCAGTTTACTTGTCTTGTCATCTCAATTTAATCGGTTCATTTGACTAGAGCACATTTTAAGAATAAAAAGGTACTCGTATATTTCTTATAGTAGTCTGTGTCAGAGATCTGTTCAAATTATAGTTCCGATCTGAGAAAGCATGGCTTTTGTTAAAAATATGTAACACCACGACAAAGCAACTTAAGATTGAATTACTTTACTGCAATTCTTATAGATCCATCTAGAGGCAGTGAGGGGTTTGACAAAACGTCCCCCTGTATATTCTCAAAACCCAAATAAATACATGAAGGAGATGAACATAGCATCCGGCCTCTTCATAACCTAATGAAAAGATGAACAACCTCATCTTTTTACAAAATGAGTCTCTAAGGAGACCAGTTATGTGCGGGTACATAAAGGAATATCCATTATGCAATGGTTGAAAATGAAATGGGAGGGCCACAGCCCTTCTCAAAGAGTGAACATAAGATTTTAAAGTGAACAAAAGACCATGCTGATGGGACTTTCTTGTTTTGCTTTACGTTTATGAGATGGTAGTTGCAACTTATCAAGCTTCAGATGTCCTCTTACTTCTACAGGTAGCGAGTGAACCAAGAAAAAGTAATGGGAAAATGTTGAAGATAATGCAAAATTAGAAAGAGGTTCTGCAACTCAGCTTAGGAAGTTGGATGTACTNATATATATATATATATATATATATATAAGAAAATAATTTACCATAAATACACAAAAATAATAGTTAGCAAAGTTGCTGCAAAAGTACGTTCCTACCTTCTGTGCTTGACTTTGCCATGTCAAGGGAACCCGGTGAAGAACTATATTTGCGAACTTCACTCTTCTTGAACTCTGCAAAGTGAAAGTTGTAATTGATATACTTCACCCCCAGAACAGTAACAGACAAAAGCCATGAGAAAGATTAATAAAGGCTAGCTTGAACTTTCAGACTCATAATAAATCCATTTTAAGATGGTGGACAACTTGTTACAAAGCCCTAATGAGTGAACCATGATTGTGATATTCCAGACATACAAAAACAACTTTAGTAACACATTCTAGATTCACATAAGCTGGCTTATCGAAAACTGAAGACATGAAATTTCATTTTTGTGCAGGAAATTCAAAAGCAATTGCTAGAAAATATGGAGGAAAAAGGTTCCCCGAACTTGTCAGTGTAGAAGAATCCTCGCAGCTTTCCTACCATTTACACGTGTTTTTTAACTTGAAAGGTCACTTGAAATAATTAGATTCGCATGAAAAGCTTCTGATTTTAAGAGTAGTTAGGTTCAACTTGATGAATCAAAATCTTTTAGGTTTAAGGATGCCACTACCCTACACCATCTGACAAAGCAACATACAGCATTTTACAAAGTACTCCTTAACAGCTTCTGTCCCACAAAGAATTTCTGAAAATTCAATTTAATGACAAAGGGTAAGCCCATTAACAAAAGCAAAGGAGTGTAAGAGAAATAGAACATGAGACCGAGATATGAGCTTAGAACAATGACTGACAATTCCAGTTTTGATGTACTAAGACAAAGGTATACGTATGTCACAAATGAAATTAGGATTGTTACCAAATTGCAAAACCTTTAGGGTTGTTTGATTCTGGAGTAGTAATGCAGTGAATAATAATATAAGAATTGTTATGCAGAGAATGATACTGTAGTTATTGTCATATGATAGTAATATTTATAGGGATTGTTATGCAGGAATTGCCTATTTTAATGGCATTTTTGTCATTAGATGCTCTTATCCAGCTACTGCTAAGAACAGATTCGTATTCCATGTTTTATCCCACATAAATAATGCAAACATTCCCACATAAGTTAATGCTAATATTAGTAATGCAGAGTTTAATTGCAGAAAAACATGTTACATATGTTTTGTACTGAAAACCAAGCATTTCACTAGGGAAGCAAAGATTACACCAAAGTTTAACATTGCAAACCAAACATCGCATTATTATGTGAAACTTTATGGCCCAACCAAACAAGCCCTTCTTCATTTGTAAGTCCAAGATAATAGGATGTGACAAATAAGATAGTCATTAAACAAAAAAGAATAATCTATTATAAGGAAGACTTCCTATACAAGCATCAAATACTATAATACGATCTTTACCTAACTGAATTTTATTTAGACAAAGACAGACCTACCAGCCGGAAACTTGTTATGGACACCGACATCCCCGTGTACTGGTTCTCTTTTTCCAAGTCCTGTGACATGCTTTCCTTGATCTCTAAGGTCCTTTGGAGGCTTTTGATCTTCCTCAGATTCTCCTATCTCCACTAAGTGACCATCAAATGTTACCGATTGGCCAGACATGATACTTTCATTCTTTTTCAGAAACCTACTATCTAGGAGTCTCCTGGTTGCATCATACAGCATGATCTGGAAACAATCAGCAAATTTTTTTATTCAAACGAGAAGTCAGCAATATAAGGACATAATATTGAACATAACTATGCTTTAGAAAAAAAAAAAAGAAACACACCGTTCTTCACAAAAGTTTTTCAGCTACCGTTCAGATATGCTAGTATGATGTTTCAATCTTAAGAACTAGATGCATCCAAGCTGCTGAAAGCAACTTACTTAGGCCTGGCTTCAGGTCTGAGAGTTGTGAGATTAACGTGTGGGACTTTGGGACAAAAGAACATGAAAATATAAAGGAGATGCTCTACTGCTTGTTTACTATCCTTCATATTTTATACTTGTCTTCTTTGTAACCTCCCTATAACAGCCGGCTCTAACATATATTATTCTTCTCTTTTTCACTCCCCCTTCCTTTTGCTCCACATCTAATTCCCTGGCAATACCTTCTTGGCTCTTGACATGCCTCCTCATTTGGAAGTTCAAAAGTGAACAGATAGGAGTAATAGATTTTCGTTAAAGATCAAAAATGTTTTTCTTCTAATTCATGCCTTGACCAGAAGTATGAAGCGTGAGGTCATATTCACCTTCAAAGTTGAAACTCTCCTGAGATGCGGAGACAATATCCAGTGTTGCTATCAAATATCAATACGTGTAAGCTAGTAAGTTCTCAAATTTTCAGAATACAGCATTGACTCTTGCATTAGCAAGACTGTATAGAGGAACTACATTGGCTTCAACAGGTTATTTCTCTCATACGCAAGCAACAGCAAGCTTTTTGATTTGGCCTGGGGAGGGGGAGCACAGTGTTGGTAATATAGTTCTAACACAGATTTTAAATTAGACAAAAAGAAGTGCCAACATCATACTTTGAGAAGGTCCAAGCACACAGCTGGTAATGACAAGATGATTCTGAACAGTGAAGGTGTTCATCATGCAAGTTAGACAAGAAATAATTGCAGAAAGCAACCTGCTTGCCATGTGAGCCAGACATCACAAGTCGCAAATACCCATCATGGAACTTCTTTGCCTTTTGAGTTATTTGTGTGGTGTACAATACCTGCCATTCTGAATTAACAATCAAAATAGAAACTCATTCTCAGAAAAAGGCGAGAAAATGCAGTCTAGGAGAACTGATTTTTCAAATCCAGTAATGGAAACATGATAGCCAGCAGCACTTGTATTATCATCTCTATTTAGCCGGTTTATTTAACTAAGAGAAGAAGATGAATGTTTTTAATAGTAATTTGTAGATAGAGATCTGTCCAGATTATAGTTCAGATAGGAGAACGGACTTTTGTTAAGAATATGTTACACCTCAAATAAAACACCTCAAGGTTGGAATTGGATTACTTTAATGCAATTTCTTAAAAATTCATCTAGAGGTGGGAGGGATGAGGGGGGAGAGAGGAGTCTCACTGACATCCCTGTATCTCAAAACCCAAAAGGTGAACACATGAAGGAGAGGAACATAGAATCCGACCTCTTCATTACCTAATGAAAAGATGAACAAGCTCATCTCTTTACAAAAGAATGTGTCCCAATGAAGACTGATTGTGTGCGGGCACATAAAGAAACATCCAGCTATGCAATGGTTTGAAAAATGAAATGGGAGGGATGCAGCCCCTTTCTGAAAGAGTGACCATAAGATTATAAAGTGAACAAAAGAACCACTCTAAAGTGATTTTCTTGTTTGCCTTTATAGCTCCAAATGTCCTCTTACTTCCACAGGCAGTGGGTGTACCGAGAGAAATTCTGGAGAAACGCTTTGAAAGCGTTTCAGCAGTTCAGTTCAGGAAATTGGATGAACCAAAAGAGAAATTAGATCTATTAAATTTAGACTAGAGGCAGTAAAAATATCGAAGCTTCTAAACTTGAAACAAGAAAATTATTTACCATAAAATCCACAAAAGTAATATTTAGCACAGTTGCTGCAAAAAGTACTTATCTACCTTCTGTGCTTGACTTTGTTGTATCAAGAGAACCTGGAGAAGAACCATATTTGCTAGCTTCACTTTTCTTGAACTCTGCAAGTTGAAATTTGTTCCTGATATACTTCACTCTCGGAACAGTAACAGATAAAAGACACAAATTAGGTTACTAAAGGTTCGCTTGAACTTTCAGACTCATATTAGACCCATAAGGACCATAATCTCACAATCAGAGACTCAATCAATGGACATCATATCTTTGTACTGTCCCTCATGAATTCATGCGGTGAATTCCATAATGTCAGAACCTCTAATAAAAGCAAGAAAAAATAATCCATTACTGTACTTCACGGATAAAGCAGGACAGGAATCATCTGACGGACCTCTAATAATCTTTTGTGATGGGCTTAGATTACTTGGTGTTGCTTTCCTTTTCCCCAGATTAGATTTCCTATTATCTGAAAACAAAAGAAGAAAGTGTTGCAAAAATAATAACCATGTGCAAACTACAAAAAGGAAGAACAACATCAAATTATAAACAACTGCCAAGAACAAAAGAAAGAAAGTTGAGTGATACCAACAGCAGTTGAGCTTTTCCCAGAATGCAGTAGCCCAGATTCCACCGGAACTTTCTTATCCATCAGTTTAGTATTTAATTTGGGTATAGGGTTGTAATCGCCGTGAGGATCACCAATATCAACAAGGTAAGAATCAAATGGCAGTGTTTCGCCTGTTTTGACATCATCGTCATTCTTCAAAATCTTAATGCCTAACAGCTTCTCACAATCATCATAGAGCATGGCCTGTAAAGAACCAGAACATTTTGATGTTATACATAATTTCTTGAGGATGTATTCACAGCAGAATGTGAAAGCCCTTTCTATTCAACAGCCAAGACTAGTCCGCAGACCCCCTTCCAAACATATCTGTTTGTGTATCAGTGGACTCCTTGATAGCAGCACTAATAGAACTCTGGCAGCTGATACAGGACATGCTCTATAACGATTGTGGACCCACTGCTTATTGGATCTGCCTTGCTAGAGAGGCTGGCATTGTCTTACTGAGGTTTTATTTACAAGTAGCTCATAAAAGTTTTATATATATATATATATAATTCAAGCGGCTAATGCCTTTGAAGATTGACCCATAAATCTCTAGATAAAATTGCACAAGCTAACATGAGTTTGCTTGACTGCAAGCCTTCCACCTTAAGAGTAGAAATCAATTTGAATTAAACGTGCATAAAACAGTATATGGAATTGAAATTGCACATAATTTTAGCTCTTCAATGAAATCTCTCTCTCATTGCACATAATAACTTTTGACAATGAACATAAAGTTATATGTAGAACTTCACTAAAATGCAACAAATACTATATCTAATGTCTAAACACATAATTTTGAAAATATAATGGGCTCAACACTAAAAACCTTAAATGTTGAACTGATCAATCTTAAATCTTGGATTTGCCTCTGCACAGATATACACACATACATATATATGATATGTGTATGTATGAATGTATACTAAACCCAGACTCAGTCAGAAAAAAGCAGTAAGCACAGTGCTACTCGCATTCACTGATTAACAACTAAACTAATTTACGTTTTTTTTTCCTTCCAAATTACTTGAAACGTGACATTTCGAGCTGTATAAACTAACAAATGGAGAAAATGGAATACCTAAGTATAGATATATGAAAATATACCTTGTGGCTTGAAGATTGAAGCTCTAAGAAGCCATCGTGATAAACTTTTCGCTTCTGCTTGAGATGCTTCGTGTACGTCACGCTCCATTTCTTCACATCTCCCATTGTCGCCGAGCAGATAGCAAATCGGCGATTTTTTTCCTCTGGATAATACGGATGGTTCTAGAAACTTCGGGAGAATCAGTGACTTTTTGGTGCGAAATTTAGGCGGGAAATTGTCGTTCTTTTGGTAAATTGTACTCCGAGCGTTTTCAAAAGGTGTTTCTTTTAAGCAAATTCGGAAAGGAAGAAAATAAAAAGGGACAAAAAAAGATAGATTTCAATTCGAAGCTTTTTCTAATTTCTTTTATTGTTTTTATGGAAGGGTATTTGCGCCGTAAAGTCGCCTTTCTTATTTACAAACTTTATTTTATCTTTTAATATTATACTTTTAATCTTTTTGAAACGAAACGTAACTTATTATTGTTACATCTTAATATCTTTACGTTCTTATAAACACACATAAAGGAAAATAAAATTTTACACTAAGGACCTTTTTTCTTTTTGTTATTTATGAGGATAGACAAGGAAAACAATCTTTATGCGATTGATTTGACTGAATATAGAACCCAACAACTCATATTTTCAAAGATTATCTTCCAAGTTTGAGAAAAAATGAAGTATTAACAACTTCACTTCTTTAGAGTATTCTGCAATTTGTATATCCATCGAAAGAGTCAAAGAGGTGATATTGCAAGAGCCTTATCGTTCTAAGTAAATATAGAACCCAAAAACTCATCTTTGTTAAGGCATCAAATGTAACTCCCTAAGATCGAAAGATTCAGTTCATATATTATTTTATCATACTAGTTTTAGGGTACGCACGTTGCGCGTTTACCATATATTAATAAATAATAATTTTTTTAAAAAAATATTTTTTTTTTAGAATAACAAATGTTAATTATATTCAGTTAAGTGTATAACATTCTTTTGTATCTCTCTGGGATAATAAATTATTTTGTCATGAAATTAGAAACCCATATTTGTTGATTGTCTTTGTTACTTAATTGGAATAAAGAACGGTGATTCAGACTTCCATTTCGTGCGAGACAATTAGGAGAATGTTGTACTCGTAATTTTTTTATGATTTTTGGGTAAGGAGGAACTTCTTTGCTTTGGCTAAAGGAATTATCATTTTTAAAATTTCAGAAATTTAATGATTAATTATTTTGAAATCCAAACACCATAACTAATTATTTAACTGTTTAAATTGTCATCTCCTTTCATTTTCTAGAAAATTCAGGCAATAATATTTAGGAAGATTGCTCATGTTTGCTAAAATTTCATTATTCGTTTATCTAGAAAAGTAATACCCTCCTACTATTTCCCAATCTTACGAAACTTTAGGAATTAAAAAAAACTTTCCAAGTAAAAAGAAATTTAAATATATATAACATACTCTCTTTATATTGGATGTCAAAAACTGCAAGAATGATATTTGAAAGAAAAAAATAAATATTATATCTAAAATAATGAAATATGTTTGAACTTTTATTGGACATACATAGATTTTTTATCTCAAAACTAACATAAATTCTTTACCTCAAAACTAATGTTTTCCGGCACTTTATCCTCTCTTGTAGGATTAAGATAGGACGTATGAAGAATGATACCGAAGACATGTGAAACTGAATTAGATGCAACTAATCTTGATTATGAATTTTAAAAAATACTCAAACAAAAAGTAAACGAATGAAAATAAATTTATATAAATACACCATAAGAGAATAGAGTTGAGGGAGAAAAAAAAAGGTCCAAAAGGAAATTTCAATAGTGGAAGTCCCTTGACGAAGGAAACAAAATATGTTATGTTACGTACTCTTAGTTTAATAAGGTCGAATTTAATATATAAAATTTAGTTAATTTTAAAATCTTAAATATTAGGAAAATAATTAAATGACTATGTCTAAATATTAGGAAAATAAATAAATAAATATTTTATCCCATGCGAAATCTATTTTTAAAGGGTAAAATAGGCGAACGACATTTTGCTAAGGAACTTCGTGCTTTTAATATAACTAGTTTCTATGTACATGTATGTGCAACTCTTATCAATTATTATAAAATATATTTTAAAAATATAAGTTCTTAATTGCATGTATTCACCAAGTCCATAAATAAAAAATAGTTAAATATTGCTTGAACCTTCCAAAATGAATAACTAAATTAGATAATTGGTGTCCTTGCTCTAGATTTCCAAATATTAGTTATTAGAGTCATATTATAAAGCATTTATTTTTTCTCTACCGCTATTTAACTGTCACGATCCAAAATTCGACTAGTTGTGATGGCATCTGACTCAACCCGCTAAGTAAGCCAATTATCAACTATCCAATTCCAATAAATTTAATAAGGTAATTAATTAAAAGAAAATATATGAAACCAATACATTTCACATTACGGACCTATTCCAATTTCCAAAATCGGATTCCGACCCCGATATCAAAAAGTCAATCCCTCATTCAAATTTTTAAAAAATTCAACTTTCACCATTTCAAGCCTAATTCTACTACGGACCTCCAAATAATTTTCCAGATACGCTCTTGAGTCCAAAATCGCCATACGGAGCTATTGGAATCATCAAAACTAAATTCCGAGGTCATTTACACATAAATCAACATCTGGTCGACTTTTTCAACTTAAGCTTTCCATTACGAGGCTAAGTGTTTCAATTCATTCCGAAATCCTTCCGGACCCAAACTAACTATTCTGATAGGTCATAATATAGCTATAAAGCACAAACAGAGCAGTAAATGGGGAAATGGGGTGGTAATACTCAAAACGACCGGTTGGGTCGTTACATTCTCCCCCACTTAGACATATGTTCGTCCTTGAACGTGCCAAGAGTTATTTCCAAGCCATCAAATCATTATTCCATCTTACCACGCACGTACCCGGAGGTGATCCCACGTCACTCTATTCCACATAGGCCTGACAACATAATACAATTGAAAATCCTTAATTTAACCTTAGCTCAAAAACCTTGGAATTCAATTCCAAACATTCAGGATTTCTTTTCAAGACACGAATCTTACATTTACATACTGTATGAGTCTGAACAAGACCATAACCATGAAGAGGCAAATGACACAATGCCACACAAAACCTGAAAGAAACTAACCAATACGCAATCGATCATGCAATACCCAAATACTCATCTCGCTCAAATTCCGCCATAAGGCCGCCAATAGAACTTCACCGTGTGTGAATATAACCGATGAATCACAACTCCTCATAGCATAGAAGAGTAACTCACAGATCACTTCAGAACACGAATAATTTCAACATCAACCGAATGGCACATCCTTCAACAATAGCAGTATGGAGCTAACCAATCCGACTAGGTGTAGAATACACATCCTAATTGGGCCTACCGATGGACCCCCAAATCAGCTTGGTTACCCACAAATAGATAAATAACCCTCAAAAAATCCACAATAACTGAAATCACAATACATACTATCATCTGGCTAGCTTCGGCCACGACTTCACAGTCCGCAACCATGAAACAATCTGCTCTTATAAACTCTCAGTCTCCAAATCCATAGAACACACGAATCACTATTTCTGATTCCATCTCCACTACCCGAACGTCTATCACATCCTTAATGCACGATCATCCCACTCGAAATATTTTCATAATTCTTCCGTGCCACATAGCAATAATTTGAATATCCTAATTGGGCCTACCGATGGACCCCCAAATCAGCTTGGTTACCCACAAATAGATAAATAACCCTCCAAAAATCCACAATAACTGAAATCACAATACATACTATCATCTGGATAGCTTCGGCCACGACTTCACAGTCCGCAACCATGAAACAATCTGCTCCTATAAACTCTCAGTCTCCAAATCCATAGAACACATGAATCACTTTTTCTGATTCCATCTCCACTACCCGAACATCTATCACATCCTTAATGCACGATCATCCCACTCGGAATATTTCTATAATGCTTCCGTGCCACATAGCAATAATTTGAATATCAGTAGTTTATCAACTAGGTGAGTACCGTAATACCAATGACATCAAAACACAATGCGCTTTTTGAAATACGCACCCTTCTCAGGGATTACCGAGGAGTTATAACATTCGTCTAAATATCTGAAGTTGACCATGTTGTCCAAAATTCGGGACCTTCCCGTCAAGACTGAATTGTCACATTGTACATGTAAATCCTAATCACGCACAATATACCACATCTATTATGCCATCAGGTGACAAGCACAAGAATCCTATTATCAACTCTGAATCACTAGGAAATTACATACCCGGTTAGTTAGAAAACTTCCTCTTGCTTCCTTCGAGGAGGAAATCACAATACACAACACGTTTTTCATATCAGTAGAAAATATTCGGTTCAAACTATGGTAGAAACCATCAATAATACTTTGAAATCCATTTGCACATAACCAAGATATTAGAACTGAATTCCTCTAACTCGACCTGGCCACGCAGGTCACCAAACCCAAGAATATTGCCACCAAAACATCTGTAAAGTCTTATCACATCGTAATTACCCAAAGGACCGATCCTACCATTACCATATTGGTCCAGTCTACTATCCAGTTATCCTATTTCTCCGAGTCCCTTCCGAATTTGTTTTTATATTGATACTTTTTCTTGCTAAAACACCACGATCTTTAACCAAATTTCACCTCACAAACCTTGGCATAGAATCACAACGTCCTACGGCCCATAAGCAACTGTATTCTTCTTAAGCACCTCCATAAATACCACAACTGTAACACTCACTCTGAAAATACCTTATGTGAATTTGAAACTATTCTTCTTACATTCCTTATACTAAAATGTAGAATCCATAGTCATACAGAATTTTCGCAAGTCCAAGCATCATCAAATGTAAATCTCAGATTTTATCCATACATAAGTCCAGAGAAATTTTCAATTGCTATAAATAAACCTCGAACCTATTGGAACTTTCTCGAGAGTCTCCTCCTTTGTTCGAATCCAAATTACACTGCCCAAATAAGCCAAAAGATACGTGCCCCATTAGCACAACAACACTCAAATAAGTAACTCTACTTTTAATACCGCCTATCAAATTCATACTCCTTGCGCACTACATCATTCACAAATAACAACTCACTCATCCCACGATTTTTATATACTCATAAAGCGCAATATAACCCGTATCCAAAACTTTCCTTACTCGAGTCATTCTAGAACTCCACATCTGCAAGTCATCACTGATTCTCAAGTATACTTCAGACCAAAACAAAAAA